CCGCCATCCATCTCCAGAGAACCGTCATCTGCCCCAACTAAAACCTGTACCCATTAAATACTAACGCCCCCAGTTCACCAGTATTTTCTCAGATTTAAGGCACTCTGCACCCTAGAATTTTCATTTCCTGATATTGTTCAACCTTCAGAATTTCTAATTTCATTAAGAAATCCAGTCTCTGGTCTTGCCTGGGATCCCAACCTAACCATTTGCTCGCCTGTTCCTTCATTTGTAAAATTCAAATTCTAGATAATACTGCAGATGATATACATACTAGATAGATAGGAGAACTGAAGTTCACTGGGTTGTTGGAAGGATTAAGTGCTTGTAGAGCATTTAGCACGATTCCATTCTCCACCCTTCTTGCCACTGCACACGGGGGTCCCCACTCCAGACACTGCTTCGCTGCCATTCCCTGCTTGCCTACACCGTTGTGTCTCTGGTGCCCATTCCAGGGACACGCCGTCCTGTATCTGTCCAGCTCTACTTCAGTTTAAGGACTATTTGAAAGATTTCTTTTTACATTTCTGTCCATCTTCTAACATCTAACAACATACATTATTATTAGAATTTAGGGATAGCAAGAGGGTGACGGCTGGCTCTGGATGGCCCTTCTCAGAGATATGACTGGTTCATCTCTGGGCATTGCCTTTTGGAAACCTCGAGAAGCTCCGAATTTCTACTCACTGAGTTCCTGGGATCTTATATTTGTAACCTCAGAACCCAACAGTTCATCTGCAGCTTCCCTGACTTTATACTACCCTGTGGTCTATTATTTTCATTCCTGATGAAATAAGGAAATGATTTCATATTGACTAACCAAAGTCGACATGCGAGTCTACTAATCATGTGCGGAATCACAAGATGTACATAGTGCATATGAGTAACCAAGAAATAGCAAATCAAATCACTCTGCTTTATTAGATGGTGGGCACATTACAGTTGACAAGGGGAGGAAGTGGTGTCCCATTAACCAGTCCCTGTTCTGTGAGTCGGTCCTGCAGTTCTCGCTTAGAGTAAAGCCCCGGGTCTCACCTTTCTCACCTGCTCAGGAGGAAGCCGCTCATGGTGCCGTTAGAGCAGAGAAAGGAAGCTTGGAGTATTTAGTCAGGAGCCACTGTGGATGAATAAAGCATATACAGCATTTTCCTAAGAATGCTGTTGTATTTGAGTTAATTTGGGGGTAAAGAATGTATGTTCTGCACTAATTTGAAGTAACACCAGTTATGAAAATTATTTTTAAAAGACTGGCATTGTTCCTATAAAGAGGACAAAAAAAACACAATCAACTTAGGTGGGTTACTTTGTTCCGTTTTAGGGAGAGATATAAAATATTCAAGTCAACTTTCTTAAAAATTAAGAAAAGGAACCATACTGCATTCGATATTGGAAAAAATCCTAATTATGCATTACATGTTAGTTTCAGATTATGGTCGGTTGATAAAGAAAGGCAGGAATGAAACAAAATGCACAAAAGTAGGAGAGCAGAGACCAGGAAATGAGCAAACCAACAGAGAAAGACACGGGCAGCAAATGAAGGATGAGACAAACCAAATAGGACCAGAAGTGAGAGTGATTTTAGGGACTGTGAGGGAGGCAGCAGAGCTCTGGGGCCTCCCTGGCCGGCCCTTAATAATGACGGTTTGTCGTTATTTTCATCTTCCTTTGACTAAACACTTACTCTCCACCTAGACTCTCAATTCCGCGGGCCTGGGAACCGGGCGGGGTTCTGCTCACGGCCGTTTCCCGGTGCCCAGCGCGATGCGTTAAACACGGAGTTACACGTGGGTGAGCCGAGCGACAGGTGAAGGAAGTACGGGCAGGAAAAGAGGGTCCCAAGCGGCTGGGGCGGTGGTCCCCTGAGAGCTGCCGTGGTTCCCTCCAAAGCAAGAGCCCGTGGGCTGGCCGGACGCCAGCCCCGGGGACACGTGTGGTGGCATCTCTCTGGAGGCAGTTTCCCAAACTTGCACCCGTGTTCGCTTGGCAGAGCTACAGGCTGCTGAGCATTAGAACAACACTTCACCTTGGTTTCTTTTGGAATCGCCCTGAAGGTGGATGTGTTCGCCATCCTGACCTTGGGTGACTATGACGCCTTGCTTCCTGTCACCCCAGGCTCAGTTGTTCTGAGGCTTTCACCCCCTTCTGTGCCTCAGCCCCCCAGCCTCCCTGCCCTGTCGTAGACCAGCTCTCCTCTCCCAGAAGGCGGCCTTCTTGGTCCTCCCCAGAGAAGATTCTTGTCCTTCAGCCTGCCGGTGGAAGCTGCCTGTTTTCCCAGTTCCGCGGTGCTGCGGGCCCCACAAGGGTCAGCAGGCTCGGCTCCCCCTCACCAAGAAGTCACATTTCTTCCCCACGTGAAAACACACTTCTCAAGCCTTGTGCCTCGCAGCCCCCTAGCACCTCCTGCTCACTGCTGTACGCGCATCGCAGGCTCGGGCCCCTGGCCGCCCGCAGCCTCCTTGCCCGCTCTGGCCGCTGACCTCCTTGAATGACTGCAGGGACTCCGGGGGCGATTCGGCCAAAAGATCAGCCCTCGCAACTTCAGGGATTTAAAAAAATTGTAGTAAAGTATACATAACATAAAATTTACCATTTGACCATGTTAAGTGTACGGTTTCATGGCATTAAGTACATTCACGTTGTTGCACAGCCCCCACCGCCATCCATCTCCAGAGAACCGTCATCTGCCCCAACTAAAACCTGTACCCATTGAATACTAACGCCCCCAGTTCACCAGTATTTTCTCAGATTTAAGGCACTCTGCACCCTAGAATTTTCATTTCCTGAAATTGTTCAACCTTCAGAATTTCTAATTTCATTAAGAAATCCAGTCTCTGGTCTTGCCTGGGATCCCAACCTAACCATTTGCTCGCCTGTTCCTTCATTTGTAAAATTCAAATTCTAGATAATACTGCAGATGATATACATACTAGATAGATAGGAGAACTGAAGTTCACTGGGTTGTTGGAAGGATTAAGTGCTTGTAGAGCATTTAGCACGATTCCATTCTCCACCCTTCTTGCCACTGCACACGGGGGTCCCCACTCCAGACACCGCTTCGCTGCCATTCCCTGCTTGCCTACACCGTTGTGTCTCTGGTGCCCATTCCAGGGACACGCCGTCCTGTATCTGTCCAGCTCTACTTCAGTTGCATATCCCCCTGGCTGTTGCTGGGGTTGCTAAAAGGTACAGTCCCCTGCTCCACTGAGGCATCCATCGTGCCCTGCAAGCATTTAATGGGCCCCTGTTTAGCTTCCTCTTCCCATGCCCACAACAGCTATTCCAGATCTTTCCCCTTCACTCCCTCTTGCTACCCTGCCACTACCCTAGTGGTTATCTTTTAGCTTCTCTGTCTCCATACACCAGGGTTCTTAAACTTCAGTGCACAGAGGAGTCACGCACATCCCCTAAGAGGTTCTGACTTGGTAAAAGGTGGTGGGGTTGAAATGTGCAATTTTAACAAGCAACCCCAGGGGATTTTGGTATATGTGGTGCACAGTCCCCTTTCCCTGGAGGGCTGGGCCAAGCCACAGGCTCCTTGAGAGCAGACGTCTTGTCTCACCAGATTTTCATCTCTGAATACCTGGCAGTAGATACTGAAGGCCTGATTGGATGAGTGAATCTCGCTGTTCACTATGCGCTTGAGAGTAAGCTACCATTCTTCTTTGAAATGCTAATTAACTACAGCTGTTTAAATACTGTTTCAAGCTCTTTAATATGTTTTATCCTTAATCCTCTATCAGTCCTTTTCATTGCCATTGTGGGTAGGGAACTATAAAGAACTTACTATTCTCTGACTAGTGACAAAAACCACAAAAAAAAAACCCTAAAAATGAAAAACCAGTGGCTTGGTGAGATTGCAGCAAAAGGGCAGAGAGAGGCTGGGCCTTTCGGCTGTACTTTAGGGGAGAAAAGGACGCTGTCAACTCTGTCTCAGGATCCTCCAGGCAGGTCTTTGCAGCCACTCTAGCAGGCTTTTCTGGAGTGGAAAGACTTAGAAGTAAACAGGAGACTAGAAATATGGACTGACATACCCAGTTGGTGGACAGGCTCACCTGGCTTCAAACCCTCCCTTGGCCATTTCTTGGTGCGTGATGTTGGGGTTGAAATATTTGGTATGGCTTGTTTCCTCATCTGTAAAGTCGGGACAATATGATTTATCTTGCCAGCTTTTTTGAGGATTGAAAAATGTAATGTAAGTAATGCACAGTGATTCTGTAATGTTAAGCAGTCAGGGAGACATTTCAAGAGATCTGGGTACCTGGTTAACCATGGAGAAACACAATGGAGAGACACACAAACACACACACACACACACACACACCCTACACGCAGTCTGCCTAGAAAAACAGAAGTGGTACCAGCTATTGCCCTCTGGGGAAGTTCGAGTGACTCCAAAGCCTCACCCTCATTGTAATGAAATGTTTCCAAAAGGAGCAGACAGAGTAACCTTGGGCCGGGGCCTCCCACTTCCCTCTTCCCTGAGTGGAGCTGGGAGCCTGTCTTGGGGAAGTGGGCGGAAAAGACGCGTGGGTGGCTGGAACTGAAACATTTCTTTTACCACCCTCCCGTTCCACCACCTCTTTCTCTTCTGTGCCAGGGCGGGAGGGGGAAACAGCTCATGCCTGTACTGTACCCACACACACAGATCTGCTTGCCCGACTTCCAGGCTCTTAAATCATTCATCAGGATTCACTGGATGCCCATAGAGTTCAGGGTGCTGTTCTAAATGCTTTATCCGGGACCTCCCTGGGAGCCTATAGGAAGTTTGTTCCAACGTTTAAGATGCTCCGCCATTGCATGAAGACCAGTGTCTGAATCCCACTTCATTCCCACCTGCAGCCTTTCTCCACCCCTGGCCAGAAAGAATGTCTGTTGCTTTGCATGCTAAGAAACTTTGATTTAAATGTCAATAACAATGAATACCTATGACCATTCTTTACAGACCCTCAGGTTTCCATCCATCCTTACTCCCTTGTTCCTGAATGTTTATCTGCTTTCAGGAGAAGAACTTGGACTGGTTTCCTCGGATGCGAGCCATGTCCCTCGTTAGCAATGAAGGTGACAGTGAGCAAAATGAGATTCGGAACCTGCAGGAGAAGCTGGAGTCGACCATGAGCCTGGTCAAACAGCTGTCGGGTCAGCTGGCGGAGCTCAAGGAGCAGGTCAGTGTGCTCAGGGAGACAGAGCTGGGTGGGGTGGGGTCAGTGCACTTAGTGAGGCACGACCCCCAGGGGTTCCTGGGAGCAAGATCATTAGCCACAGGAAACTGGATTCCAAGGCTGGACACCACACCATGCTATAGCAACCACATCTCGGCAAGTAGAGACTTCTGTTCACCCCACCTCCCGTCTCGTGTGACCCTCTTCCTATGCGAGGAGGAGAGAAGGAGCAAATGCCAAAATACGAGGACTTCTTTGCACTCTGAGGAAGAAAATCTG